ACGATCGTGGGCCCACTGGATGACATCACCTAGCAATGTCACAGCCACAGATGATGGGCATACTTAGGACACTTGCAGAACTGCCTACCACCACTTTCTCCACCAGACAAAGATGATGACACCATCCACCCCCAACCCCATGATCTTGCTTTCTACATTAAGCCAACAAAAGATAGCAGATGTCTTGGACCAACACCCAGTGTTAGGACCTCTGGAAGAACAGTCAGTGCTCTTAACTGCTGAGGCATCTCTCCAGCCCCAAGACTGGAGTATCTTATAGTACCAAAAAGTAAGGAAGTGTTGAACACTCGTGGTAGGCAGGGACAAATGATGGAACTTTATCACAGGGACAACAGACAGTTCCAGCAACGAGGCCAAGAAAGACCAGATCACACACAGGTTTGTCTTCATGGATAAACGCTTATGTAGATGGAGGGACCATCTCCTAACCAGAGGTCTATAGATATCTGCCTTCAGATTGAAGGGGCCTGACTGGACCTCAGTCCTTAGGTATGGGCTGCACATGGTGACTTGCTTCCAAAAAGTAAGTTATTTGGGGGAAGGCGGTGAATTTGAAGCCGGAAAACCTGATGAACACTACTCTGTTGTGTGGCCAACACCAACATTAACAGCTGTAAGTGGGGATGCAGCTTCACCAGGCAAGGCTTACCCCAGCACGAGAGGCTCGACTTCCATCCCAGCACAAAAACAAAACACACAGAACCCAACAACCAGGGCCACAACCCTGAAAAACAGTGGTAAGTCATGTTAATCACCACACTGTCCAGCCTGGATGTGCAGGAGCATGACAGTGGCTCACTGTCCGATCCCTACCGATGCCAGCTCAAGAAAAGCCTGAGGAACTCTCGGTCAGTGGAGGCCAAGGCCATGTGATGACTGAACACGCTGTGGGGCTCTGTCCTGAATCTGACAGGAGGAAGGGAGGGAATGAAAGGCAGGCACCCTGGGTAAGGGAGGGAAATTAGCTACTGACAGTAGACAGATCAGGGTGTTAAACAGGGGAAATGGGGTACATGAGAACTCGACATCCCATCCCCACTTTCTGTGAGTCTAAAACCATTGTTGGGGCTAAAGATGCAGCTAAGTGTACAGGGCTTGCCTTGCATGTGCAAGCCCCTAGGTTGAAACCTAGCAAACCTTTAAAACAAAGCATATTTAAAGACAGCTGGAAAGCCGGCCAGTGGTGATGCACACCTTTAATCCCAGTACTGGGAGGCAGAGGCAGGAGATCTCTGAGTTAGAGTCCAGCCTGGTCTACAGAGTGAGTTCCACGACAGCCAGGGCTACACAGAGAAACCCCGTCTCAAAAAAAACCACAACAAATAAAACAGAAAGAAAGCAGACCGGGAGAGATGGCTCAGCAGCTAAGAGCATTTATTATTCTTCCAAACAACCTGAGTTCAAGCCGGGCATTGGTGGCACACGCCTTTAATCCCAGCACTCGGGAGGCAGAGGCAGGCGGATCTCTGTGAGTTCGAGACCATCCTGGTCTGCAAGAGCCAGTTCCAGGATAGACTCCAAAGCTCCACAGAGAAACCCTGTCTCGAAAAACAAAAACAAAAATAAAAACAAAAACAAACAAACAAAAAAACAACCTGAGTTCTGTTCCCAGCACCTGTTGCAATTTCTTTACACTGTATGAAGATGGGTCACTGTGATTGGTTTAATAAAGAGCTGAATGGCCAATAGTTAGGCAGGAGAGAATAAGGCAGACTTCTGGGGAGAGAGAGAACTCTGGGAAGAAGAGAGGCAGGGACACCAGGAGACTCTGAAGAAGTGGGGCATGTAGAGCAAAGACAACAGATTAATAGAGGCAGATTAATTTAAGTTATAAGGGCTAGTTGGAAAACACCCTAAGCTAGGGCCAAGCTTTTGTAATCAATAAGTCTCCATGTCATTACTGGGGAGCCAGAAGTCCCACAAAAAAAAGCCCCACTGCATTTGAGGGAGCTTCTTATAAGCACCCCCAGCAGACAGCTCACAATAGTCTAACTCTACACACACCTACACCCATTATCTACCCACCAACAAATACACATAATTAAAAATAAAATTCATCTTAAAAAAAAAAGGAAGAGAGCACCCCAAGCAAAAAAGCCTAAAATCATAAATATGCACAAACCCCTAGGTCTGACAGCACGCACCTGGGAAGTGGAGGCAGAAGGATTGTAAGTTCAAAACCATTCTTAGCAGCTACACAGTGAATCTGAAACCCTATCTAAAAAAAGAGCACGGTGGCATATGCATTTAATCCCAGCACTAGGAACTAGAGGCAAGCAGACCACTGTGAGTTCAAGGTCAACCCGGGCTCCACAGTGAGACCCCCATCTTAGCTATGGAGAGATGCCATGACCAAGTCAACTCTTACAAAGGAAAGCATTTAACTGGGGTTTGCTTACAGTTCAGAGGCTTAGTCCATTACCACTGTGGCAGGGAGCATGCTAGCATGCAGGCAGGGATGGCTCCAGATAAGTAGCTGAGGCTTTACATCCTGATCCTCAGGTAACAGGCAAGAGAGTTAGATCCACTGGGTCTGGCTTGGACTTTTGAAACCTCAAAGCCCATCTCCAGCAACACACTTACCCTAACAAGGTCATACCTCCTAATCCTTTTTAAATAGTACCAACTGATGAATGACTATGCATTTAAATATATGAGCCGATAGACCACTTTCATTCAAACCACCACAGACTACCTGTCCGGAAAAAAAAAAAAATCTTCCCCACAAAACACAAAGAAGGAATGGTAATCTTCTTGGAGGAGGGCATTTTGACATTTGGGATTTGTTTATTGGAGACAGGATCTTTTAATATCTACACTTTCCTCAAACTCCCTAAGTGCTGGAATTCCAGCGCCAAGCGTGGCCTGATTTATTTTCCTTTTTAATTACTTTTCCTTCCATTACTTTTTGTTGTTGTTTTTCAAGACAGGGTTTCTCTGTGAACTCACTCTGTAGACCAGGCTGGCCTCGAACTCACAGAGATCCACCTGCCTCTGCTCCCCGAGTGCTGGGATTAAAGGCATGAGTCAACACCTCCAGGTGAAGATGACAAGGTTTTGAATTTTGTTTTTCCCCAAATGAATTAGACAAACACAGAAAAAGAAAACAAAACAAAACAAAACAAAACAAAAAAAACCAACAAAGAAACCTACCCTCAAGCCCTAGTACTATGAAATTGCAAGGTCATGGGAAATGCCTATGATACAAAGTTCTGTGGTAAAATTAGACCAGTCTGGTGTTAACATGAATAGGGCACACGCATAAAAAAACTGAAAGCAAGAAAAAACGAACATGTAAGCTATTATTTTTAGTAAGGATTATAGTCACTATCATTTTTCACTTTGCCTCTTCAATGTACCCTAAAGGTTCCCAAGCAGGGAGTACAGTGGCTTCATGATCAAAGTACACAAAGGTTAGGGTAGCTTCCCAGTCCACTACACTTAAGTCTGTGGTTCTGAACGTTGGTCCAGAGCACACGCTAATACCATCCGGACAGAGTGCCTCTAATGGATATCTCTAACTCAAAGGGAGTTCTGTGTCCTTCTGATTAGGGCACATCTAGCAGCGCCAGGAGACACTTTTAATGCAGTGGCCAAGAGGAAGCAGCTGTCTCTGATGTACTAGGCAGTGGCTGATCCCTACAAAGAGAGCCCTGCCCCAGATGTAGCCAGCACTGAGGCTGTGTCCACTAACAGAGGCACCTCTGGTTCTCTTGGAGGGCAGTGTGTTAGAGAAGGGAAACCGTCGTGAGGACGCACACTGGGGAGCTCAGGGACTCAGAAGGATCCAACCCAGTGCTGTCACTCAGATACAAGTCCCACGCTGCAGGATGGTGACTGTTACTACACAGCACAGAATATAGTCTTGGGCAGCTGCCCTTCCCTTAAGAACTAAAGACTGTCACGGATGGGGCCAACGCAGCAGGAGCCTCATGGTGTGCTGGGGCCACCTTGTGGCACACCCTGCAACACTACATTAAATTCTATTCATTTCACCAGAGCAACCAGAAAATCTTCTCTTCACAAATGAAAAATAAGGAAATGACGGGAAGTGGCAAGGAGAAAGGCATGTAAGTCACTGCTGCTGGTCCCCAGACTTATCTCTGCTCTGTCCAACACAAAGCAGGCACTTCTGATATGCACAGGTGATGCACACACTGTACCAGTGACAGCATTTGTTCAACACAGCTCTGAGGATGACCTTGAACGTCTGAGCCTCCTGCTTCTATATCCCGAGTGTGGCTTAGAGGCCCATATCCAAGCCTAATTTTGTGCAGTGGTGGGATGGAAGCCAGGTAAGACTCAAATGAGTACATCCTTAGCCCAAGCATGGCTTTTTTCCCCACACAACATCTTTCTAGGTAGCTCTAGTTGATCAGAGATTTGCTGAATCACCCCCCACTTCACCTGTTCCTCAAGTGCTAGGAACAAAGGCATGTGACATCATGGCCAGCCCAAGTTTTATTGATTTACTTTTTTTTTTTTTTTTTTTTGGAGGTAAGGTCTCACTGTGTACCTCTGGCTGGCCTAAAACTTACTATGTAGACCAGGCTGGCCTTGAACTAACAGAGGTGGGTTTGCCTTTGCCTCCTGAGTGCTGAGATTAGTGGTGAGTACCACCATGTCTCACCTAAGTAATTTCTTGTTGGTTTTTTTGTTTTGTTTTGTTTTTCGAGACAGTAATTTCTTAATATTGTCCTACTTCCATCACAACCACACGGCAATGAACCCATTAAACTTCCCATCATCTGTCTCTCAAATCTGTGCAACCATCATTGTGTCTCTAAATTTGGTACACTGAGGTCCTCACACAGGTGGAGCACAAAATTCCACAAAAAGTAGAGTTTCCCTCCTTTTTTTGTGTGTATCACAAGGTCTCACTGTAGTCCATGCTGGCCTTGATGCTGTACAGAGGCAGAGGGTGGAAGGCAAGAACCAGCTCCTTTTGAAGGCTGTCCTTTGACCACCATGTGGAGCCTGTGAGCGCGCGCGTGCGCACACACACACACACACGCACACGCACACGCACACGCACACGCACA